AAATTAAAGACTGAAGCAGACATATCGCACCAGCTTGACGTGACCCAGCTACAGGAGTATTAACAGATCTCCACTTAGGTTTCTGCAGAATGTTCAAGACACACCTGAGCAAAACCAGCAGCCTTGTGAAGCAAGAGGTGTGTAGAGTTGTCTCAGGGTAAGTCTGCTTCATTGGCATTTGAGTTAGCCAGGCCCGGTGGCCTGGTGGCTAAAGCTCCCGCTTCACACACGGAGGGCCCGGGTTCGATTCCCGGCGGGTGGAAACATTTCGACACGTTTCGTTACACCTGTTGTCCTGTTCACCTAGCAGCAAATAGGTACCTAGGTGTTAGTCGACTGGTGTGGGTCGCATCCTGGGAGACAAGATTGAGGACCACAATGGAAATAAGTTAGACAGTCCTCGATGACGCACTGACTTTCTTGGGTTATCCTGGGTGGCTAACCCTCCGGGGCTATAAATCCGAACGAAATCTAATCTTATCTTACCTCTTAAAGAGCAGCGCGCTTTTGTTAGAGAGGAATTTGATAGAGAGAAGGAGAGGAGGCAATTTAAACAGACTATAGAGGACTTTATCTTGCAAAGGGCAGTACAGTTTGTTCCTCGTTTCCTCGAAGCCGAGTCGGAACAGTTTTTCGAAGCTTTTGGAAACCAAACTCGAGCCTTGGGGTGGTCTGAACAGCACTGGACGTCATTGGTTCACACAGCGTTGTTTGGCAAGACACAGTCAAGGTAGTGTCTTGTGAAGACACAGGCAAGGTGTGTCATGTGTGACACAGACGGTAGTGTTAACGGTGTCTCGTGTGGGAGACAGTTTGTGTCAGTAATAACACAGGTGAAGGGTGTAACACAAATCATATGCCATTAACAAGATGTGTTGTAACCCTGTACAAAAAGGTAGTGTCTTGTGACACAGAGAAGGAGTATCATGACAGAGAACAGAGTGTCGTGTGACACAGAGACAAGGGTGTCTTGTGACACGAAGTAGTAGGTGTGCCATGACACATAGAGAAAGGTAGTGTCTTGTGGCACTGGGTAGGTAGGGTCATGGCTACATTGTTATTATTGTAATATTTGATAATAATGCCAAAGAATATACTCTTATTTTATGATGTTTCTTTACAAATCAAAGAAAGTACTCTTTTATGCTAGAAATCACATTACTAGTAACGATTAAAAGTACTGTATGTCTCACGAAATTGTAATGACACGATCGCGGGTTCTATCCCCGCCCGTGGTATGGTTTGCTGTATGTGTTTTTGTACCCCCGGACTATATTCATATTGTAGTTTTGGTAATGTGTTAGTTTATTAATTATACTACAAACCGATTGGTTTAGATCCCCCTAGAAAGCTTGATTACCAATATTGTAATATATGCATATAGCCAGCAAAGAAAATACGCTGGCCTACCCAATATCTAGATCATAAAATATTTTAGGTTAGGATGAGTTAGGAACCTTAGGTAGAAAAAAGGCTATTTTTTTCACCCTTTTTATGTATATACTAGGTAATTTATTGTGTGTGTGTTTTTTTTAGTGAGGGGATACATTGCTACCGTCCGCAGGTATCTTGGACCTACGTTAGCCCTACTGTCTGCTGTCTCGCTTTAAATTTAGGGTTTGGCTTTATGTCGCGAATAAAGCTGAGCTCTTTCTAAGAGTTGGAAAGTGCAATGGCAGCACTTTCTACTTACTGGAGGTGGAAGCTTATTCCTGAGCCCTCTTGGGGTGGGGGGTGTGGCATGCAAAGAGTATGTACCCTTTATTCGGCGCATGTACATACCCTCATCAAAAGACTACCTCCTCAACCAGCGAACAGGGTGCTAAGGGTCGGACGATGGGGCCCCATCATCAGATCAATACCTAGGTTCAGCCAAGGAGAAGGTGGGTCTGACATTTGTGGAGGTGATGTGGTCACCACTCACGTTTCCACCCTTGTCATTTCCATTCTAGAGCTGGTTGAACACGGCTGTCCATTCTGTCTCCAGGCTGTATCTTTGCCTCTTTATTTACCGTGTGGTGCACATATATTTCCAACTGTATATAGTGTACATACTTGTAAATACTTATAATCGCACTTGGTGAAGGAAAATATAATTCAAAGTCATTCAGCTGTGTTCTGCTCCTTGCTCCCCTTTACACCCAGGATAACAGGCCTTATTGTTCCTGGGTTGTAACAGTAGGCCTTTGATTTTCGTCACGGCATTATGCTGGGGCGCTCACCCGGCATAATGCCGTGACTAGCACTATAAATTATTTGGTAAAACTACAGTGCTGGAAGCTACATGACCACACACCTCACAGTACCACCGCTCAGTGACGACTGGCAGTAAAACCATTCTCTAGCACGGAGACTAGAGACTAGAATTCTGTGCAAAATCTGTGAAATTTAATGTTACTAAAAGTGTCATTTCCTTATTTTAGATCATTGTGTAAGAACATGAAACGTTTCTTCACGAAGGAAAGTGGAGGTGAAGGACAGAAGAGAAGAAAGTTGGAGGCAGAGGAAGCCAGGAGGTCGAGTAAGTTCTTCATACCCTTCTTTGAGAAGCCTGGAACAAGTTGTTCGACACTTTCCATGGAGTCACCTGTACCTGTAACAAGTTAGAATCTGAAAGGTGGGTCAAGTACAAATGCGTCTCAAGCCGAGGAAGAAGTCACGTCAGATAAATCTGAGCATGACGAGATTAAAAGTGAGGCTGCCAGAGAGAACGTGGACCTGACAGGAGAAGACGATGGTGGTGGTGGTGGTGATGTTGAGCTTGACGAAATTTTACCTGACGACGCTGAACCTAGTGAACTGGATGGTGTCGAAGAGCCTCGAACTGTCATACAAGAAGTGAATGAACAGCATGACATTGGACTTAATGAAGTTCGACAAGGTTACTGGAAAAGCAATTCTGCCTAATGCGTTGAGAACAGAAATAATAAAGTTGAGCTCGAAGTATTTCCAGAAAAGTGAGGAGCCTTTCCTACCTACATATAACAGCTCAATGAGCAAAACTTGTTCAAGAGGAAATTGGGGAATGGCCGAGGTGAGGAAGTGACTCGCTTATGGCTGGTCTATTCCCCTCCTAAAAAGTCTGCATTTTGTATCTGTCGGCTTCTCTATCCCAGGTGAGACCATCAATCCTCACTGAAGCAGGAAAGTGGATTCAACCAGTGGAAAGCACCTGAAAATATTCATGGAAATGCTAAGAATTATAGGGAGTGCTTCACACAGTGGAAAGAAATGGAAAGAAATTTAGCGGAAAGCAGAGGAGTTATTGATGCGGAACTTCAGTCACAGATTGAGGAGGAAAAACAGAAGTGGCGTGATATCTTGACGAGAATTCTTCACTGCATAAAATACAACACCTCACTCGCGTGGAAATTAATCCTGGATCCACGTCTGATCTTTCACTGAGTGTTGGCATCTACCGGTCGCCAGAGATTACTGAGAAGGATTCGTAAAGCCAAGAACTATGGTCTCATATTCGACTCTACTTCTGATCTAGCACACCGTGAGCAGATGCCAAAAGTAGTGAGGTACGTGGAAATTGATTTTGAGAGGAAAACAGTGTTAGAGAATCCTTCCTTGGTTTTATCCAGATAAGCCTGAGAATGCTGAGAACTTGGTTGAAGACATCTTGAAACAGCTAGAGAACGACGAAATGAAGCTACAAGATTGTCGGTCACAGGCTGTGACAACGCTCCTGTGATGGCTGGACACAGAAGTGGTGTACGTCAAAGAATAAGTGAGAAAAACAACCTGACAGTGTTTGTGAATTGCGACAATCACTCGCTCAACTTGATGAGTGTACATGCAACCAACTAGGGTACAATGATGGTCACGTTTCTTGGAACCATCGAAGCTCTCTACGTGTTCTTCCCTTGTTCAGCACAACGCTGAGAAAAAAATAAAAAACGTCGTGCCTGTGGTTCAGTTGGAGTCCGAAACCAGGTGGAGTGCAAGGACAGAAACAGTGAAGTTCGTCAACAAGTAACTTGAGGAGATACTTCAAGTTCTCCAGGACATGATAGACAATGAAAACTAGAACATTAAAATGGTATAAAATACCGACAGGTTGTTAGGTAAGACACATATGCAACAGTTAGGTATCTTTATTTCGAAACGTTTCGCCTACACAATAGGCTTCTTTAGTCATAAGAACATAAGAACGATGGAACACTGCAGAAGGCCTACTGGCCCATGCGAGGCAGGTCCAAGTCTCCTACCGGCTTAAGCCAATGCACCCAACCTAGTCAGGTCAGGTCACATTGACTTAAGGGAGGAACACGGCAACCGACCTGGTAGCACAAGCTATCAGGTCTAACTCACACCCACCCACATCTACTTATGTATTTATCCAACCTATTTTTAAAGCTACACAACGTTCTGGCCTCTATAACGGTACTTGGGAGTTTGTTCCACTCATCCACAACTCTATTACCAAACCAGTACGAGTACAGAAAAGTTGATAGAAGCAGAAGAGACTTGAAGACGATGTAATCAGTCCATCACCCTTAAAGTTTTGAGGTGGCCAGTCCCTCAGTCCAGAGAAGAGCATTGTTTCATAGTCTGAAACAATATGGAGTTGAAGTGACAGGATGGAGCCTTATATAGCTCCAGAGGTGAGACGTAGGTCACTAGTAGAACGCAGATGTTGGGAGGTCAGGTCCCTCTCAATGAAAACTAGATCAGTGAAACAAGATGTGACACAATGCAGCTGTATAACCGCATGTTGAGTTACGATATTCTGATGTTGCTAGGATTTTGGAACAAGTGTCAGATGTGTGGACAACAGAACAATTTGAGTGCTTGTCATAGGCGTTATTTTCCGTAAATGCGTCTCAGCTCCACACGGAGACCAGAACGATGCTAGCGTCATCTAGGTAGTGTCATCTGTACTAGACTTAATGTGACAGTGCCATCTAGTTTTTGTCAGCTGATCTACACTAGTTAACCTTCTAGTTGACAACTAGGGGTAGGAAAACTATACATGTGATTGTGTTCCCAGATCATACACAGCGTGAGTTGTATTTCCCTCAGTTGGTGTATACCGTGAAGTGTATATCTGTGTGTGTATATATATATATACGCTCAGGGTGTATGTTAATCACTGTTTTAAGTATTAAATTACTTTTGGCTGGTGGTGAACAGGTGGCATGTAGCCTAAATTACCCTGGTGCAGTAGACTTTAAATCTCGTTAACCACAACCACGTACTCTTTAAAGTCGTTGTTGTGTTGAGCCATTGTGTTCCTTGTTCCACTGTCCTGCTGGAACAGTGTGTTCCTTGTTCCACTGTCCTGCTGGAACAGTGTGTTCCTTGTTCCACTGTCCTGCTGGAACAGTGTGTTCCTTGTTCCACTGTCCTGCTGGAACAGTGTGTTCCTTGTTCCACTGTCCTGCTGGAACAGTGTGTTCCTTGTTCCACTGTCCTGCTGGAACAGTGTGTTCCTTGTTCCACTGTTCTGGTGGAACAGTGTGATCCTTGTTCCACTGTTCTGGTGGAACAGTGTGTTCCTTGTTCCACTGTACTGATGGAACAGTGTGTTCCTTGTTCCACTGTACTGATGGAACAGTGTGTTCCTTGTTTCACTGTTCTGGTGGAACAGTGTGTTCCTTGTTCCACTGTCCTGGTGGAACAGTGTGTTCCTTGTTCCACTGTCCTGGTGGAACAGTGTGTTCCTTGTTCCACTGTCCTGATGGAACTGTTCCGTGCTCCACTGTCCTGGTGGGGCAGTGTGTTCCTTGTTCCACTCTCCTGATGGAACAGTGTGTTTCTTGTTCCACTCTCCTGATGGAACAGTGTGTTTCTTGTTCCACTCTCCTGATGGAACAGTGTGTTTCTTGTTCCACTCTCCTGATGGAACAGTGTGTTTCTTGTTCCACTCTCCTGATGGAACAGTGTGTTTCTTGTTCCACTCTCCTGATGGAACAGTGTGTTTCTTGTTCCACTCTCCTGATGGAACAGTGTGTTCCTTGTTCCACTGTCCTGATGGAACTGTTCCGTGTTCCACTGTCCTGGTGGAGCAGTGTGTTCCTTGTTCCACTCTCCTGATGGAACAGTGTGTTTCTTGTTCCACTCTCCTGATGGAACAGTGTGTTTCTTGTTCCACTCTCCTGATGGAACAGTGTGTTTCTTGTTCCACTCTCCTGATGGAACAGTGTGTTTCTTGTTCCACTCTCCTGATGGAACAGTGTGTTCCTTGTTCCACTGTCCTGATGGAACTGTTCCGTGTTCCACTGTCCTGGTGGAGCAGTGTGTTCCTTGTTCCACTCTCCTGATGGAACAGTGTGTTTCTTGTTCCACTCTCCTGATGGAACAGTGTGTTTCTTGTTCCACTCTCCTGATGGAACAGTGTGTTTCTTGTTCCACTCTCCTGATGGAACGTGTGTTTTTGTTCCACTCTCCTGATGGAACAGTGTGTTCCTTGTTCCACTGTCCTGATGGAACTGTTCCGTGTTCCACTGTCCTGGTGGAGCAGTGTGTTCCTTGTTCCACTCTCCTGATGGAACAGTGTGTTTCTTGTTCCACTCTCCTGATGGAACAGTGTGTTTCTTGTTCCACTCTCCTGATGGAACAGTGTGTTTCTTGTTCCACTCTCCTGATGGAACAGTGTGTTTCTTGTTCCACTCTCCTGATAGCACTACAGACCACTACCCTACCTTCCTCTTGACAAACATTAGTAAACCACCACTTGAATACAACAAAGTCTCATTTAGACTCCATGATGAGGCCTCAATAAGAAAGTTCACAGCTGACCTAGAGACTGTTGACTGGCCTACAGAATTCTCCAAGGCCAATGGTATTGACGACTGGACAGACATTTTCCTTAACAAACTACTTAGACTATACAACAAACATTGTCCTATAAAAACGAAACAGATCACAAACAAACGGCTTGGTTGCCCATGGCTAACCAGCAACATTCTGAAATCCATTGATAAGAAACACCAATATGAAAAGCAATATAGACAGGGCTTAATACACAAAGATATTCTTAAACACTATTCATCAGTCCTCACCAAAGTAATAAAGAAAGCCAAACAACTATACTACTCCATAGATTCACTGACACAAGAGGAGATTAAAAAAGACCTGGAAAAACCTCTCAGATTCTAGTGACCCACAAACTGAAAAAAAAAACAAGAATATTGTCCTAACTAAAGCTAATGAAACACCACTGCAACCCACCGACACAGCAACAAGATAAACGACTTCTTCTCAACCATAGGTTCTAATCTCGCCAATAAAATCCCACGTACCAATGCCCATGCCGGGGACTACCTAGATGGGAATTTCCCAAATTCCTTCTATCTTGCTCCAACTGAGCCCACGGAAGTCACCGAGATTATAAAGTCACTTAAAAATAACTCAGGGAATCTGTCTCATGTCCCACCATTATTGTACAAGAGAGTGGCCCATGTCCTCTCGCATACTATCTCATTGCTTTTTAACAAGTCACTAGAAGCTAGCACCTTCCCGAAACTACTCAAGACGACAGATTTAAACAACTATAGGCCAATATCAAACTTACCATTGCTATCCAAAATCTTTGAGAAACTCGTGCACAGGAGACTATATTCATTTATAACGTCACAAAACATACTCAACCCCTGCCAATTTGGATTCAGGAAAAATAAAAGCACTAACGATGCAATTATAAAAATGCTAGATCTGCTTTACACAGCATTGGAAAATAAGGAATATCCACTAGGAATTTTTATTGACCTAAGAAAAGCTTTTGACACAGTAGACCACAGCATCCTACTCCACAAACTTGACCATTATGGTATAAGAGGCCATGCGCTTGCATATTTCAAATCTTACCTTACTAATAGGTATCAGTATGTCACCATTAAAGACACAGCATCAACAACACAGCCACTTGATACTGGAGTTCCGCAGGGAAGTGTCCTTGGTCCCCTGCTCTTCCTCATATACATCAATGATCTTCCAAACGTATCTCGACACCTGAACCCCATTCTCTTTGCTGGCGACACGACTTATGTCATCTCTCACCCTAATCTTGCAACCCTCAACACCATTGTTAATGAGGAGCTGATCAAAATATCGACTTGGATGACAGCCAATAAACTTACGCTTAACGTTGACAAAACCTACTACATTATGTTTGGTAGCAGAGCAGGAGATGCGCAAATTAACATTAAGATCGACAACACTCTAATTACCAGGCATAATGAGGGCAAATTCCTAGGCCTATACCTCGACAACAACCTGAACTTCAGCACTCATATCCAACACATAACCAAAAAAGTATCCAAAACGGTTGGGATCCTCTCCAAGATACGATACTACGTGCCGCAAACTGCCCTTCTCACACTATACCATTCACTTATATATCCATACCTCACCTATGCTATCTGTGCTTGGGGTTCAACTGCAGCAACACGCCTAAAGCCAATAATAACCCAACAAAAAGCCGCAGTAAGAATAATCACCAAATCCCATCCCTGGCAACACACCCCCCCCACTCTTTATAGATCTAAACTTACTCCCTGTTCAGTACATCCACACTTACTACTGTGCAATCTACATCTACAGGACCTTAAATTCCAATATTAACCTTGACCTAAAACGCTTTCTTGATAGTTGTGACAGAACCCACAGGCACAACACCAGACACAAACATCTCTATGACATTCCCCGTGTCCGACTAAACCTTTACAAAAATTCAATGAATGTCAAAGGCCCTAAAATCTGGAACACCCTACCTGAAAATTCCAAAACTGCAGACACATTCATCACCTTCAAAACTACCATCAGAAAACATCTTATCTCCCTGATACACCCTGTCAACTAATTACACGAATACCACCTGGTGGTTCAAACTTACTCACTCACCCATTTGACCATAAACAGAAATATCAATCTCAATCTCAAAATAATGAATCTTAACTAGTCATAAGTTGGCCTGTGATACTCCAATACTGAAACTACGTATAGTGCCAAAACAAAAGCATTCACATTGCTAAACTCACAACTAGTATTTAGTCAGCCATAATACCATCTTATCTCATAATTTTGTAACATTTTAAACCCAAGATTTAATATAAGTCTGCCCGAAATGCCTAGCCATGCTAGGCGTTCTAGTGGTACACTCTGTAATTATTATTTTACTACATGTAAACTACACAATAACCAAATTCTGTAAACTCAGCATTGTAATACTTATAGAGAATAAAGTTTGAATTGAATTGAATTGAACTGATGGAACAGTGTGTTTCTTGTTCCACTGTCCTGATGGAACAGTGTATTTCTTGTTCCACTGTCCTGATGGAACATTGTATTTCTTGTTCCACTGCCCTGATGGATCAGTGAGTGTATTCCTTGTTCCACTTTCCTTGAGGAAAAGTGACTGTGTTCCTTGTTCCACTGTCCTGCTGGACCAGTGACTATCCTGTTCCACTGTTCTGGTGGAACAGTGACTGTATCCTGTTCCTCTGTCTCATTGGAACAATCACTTTACTTCACATCGTTCTTGCCGGCTTCTTAAAACCCCAGGAATATGAGAGAGAAGAGAAGTAAATGTCATGAGAAGAGACAGAGAACACACAGACGCTCAAGAAGGTTTGTACACAGACTAGAAGGAAGATGGCTGAGGTCAGAGGTACAGGTGAGAGGTGGAGAGGTGGGCAGCTTATACAAGGGTGACACTTTTGCTGCCACTACCATCCCAGTACATAACAAGACCAGTGTCAGGGAGACTCGGGAGACGTACGGCAGGACGGTGGTAGTGACGATGACCAGGGACGAGGAGATGGCCAAGGAGGAGAAGAGGAGACCATTGTGGCTGTGTTGTACCAGTCGTCCCGTCCCCAGGAAGTTCACCTTCCTTCAGGTATTGGAGCAGATTTTAGATTATATGGAATGACTGTGGCAGATGTTGCAAGTGTATGGAATAGGTAGTAAGTTACTTCAACAGGGATGTGTAATGTCACCATGGTTAACATTTATAAATGGGGTTGTAAAAAGTAAATGCTAGGGTGTTGGGGAGAGAGGTGAGATTAAATTATGGGGAATCAAATACAAAATGGGAGTTGACAGTTACTTTTTGCTGATGATACTGTGCTTATGGGAGATTCTAAAGAAAAGTTGCGAAGGTTAGTGGATGAGTTTGAGAGTGTGTAAAGGTAGAAAGTTGAAAGTGAACATAGATAAGAGTAAGTTGATGAGGGTATCAAACGATTTAGACAAAGAAAAATTGAATATCACATTGGAGAGGAGTATGGAAGAAGGAAATGTTCTCAGATATTTGGGAGTTGATGTGTCAGTGGATGGGTTTATGAAAGATGAGGTTAACCATAGAATTGATGAAGGAAAAAAAGGTGAGTGGTGCGTTGAGGTAACTGTGGAGACAAAGAACGTTATCCATGGAGGCAAAGAAGGGAATGTACGAAAGTATAGTGGTACCAACACTCTTACATGGACGTGAAGCTTGGGTTGTAAATGCTGCAGCGAGGAGGTGGGGCTGGAGGCAGTGAAGATGTCCTATCTAAGGAAAATGTGTGGTATATAGTCAGAGGGCTGAAGAGGGGTTGTTGAGGTGGTTTGGTCATTTAGAGAGAATGGTTTATAAATCTGTAGTGGAGTGGAGGAGGGGTAGGGGTCATCCTAAGAAAGAGTGGAGGGAGGGGGTAAAGGAGGTTTTGTGTGTGCGAGGGACTTGGACATGCAGAAAGCGTGCGTGAACGTGTTAGAGAGGAGTGAATGGAGACGAATGATTGAGATCTGATGAGCTGTTGGAGTGTGAGCAGGGTAATATTTTGTGAGAGTTCAGAAAAACCGGTTAGCTGGGCTTCAGTCCTGGAAATGGGAAGTACAATGTCTGCACTTTAAAGGAGGGGTTTAGGATATTGGTAGTTTGGAGGGACATCTAAACTGTTGTATCCGAGCGCCTCTGCAAAGACAGTGATTATGTATGAGTGATGGTGAAATTATATATATATAATATAATATATATATATATATATATATATATATATATATATATATATATATATATATATATATATATATATATATATATAAAATGTCGTGCCGAATAGGCAGAACTTGCGATCTTGACTTAAATAGCAACGTTCATCTTGCCATATAGGACAAGTGAAAATTTGTGTATGCCATAATTTCGCCAAAATCATTCTGAACCTAACGAAAAAAATATATTTCACTGTGTTTGTTTAGTATTAAATTACTGTAAACAAATCTAAAATATATTTAGTTGGGTTAGGTTAAAATAAATTGTTCTTGTTATAATAAGGTTAGGTAAGTTTTCTAAGCTCCTTTTGGTGCAAAATTATAAATTTTTACATCAACATTAATGAAAAAAATATATCTTTAAACGTATTAGAGAAAATTTTAGAAAGGACTTAATTTTAAAAGAGTTCTTGCTAATTGACCAGTTTTACATATTCGGCACGACATATATATTATATATATATATATATATATATATATATATATAGTGTGTAATATATAGATCACGTAGTAATAGTCATTGTACTGTACAATTGGCAATATAAACACAAATGCAGTATAATGTGATCCTTTATTGACTACGTTTCGCCCACACAGTGGGCTTTTTCAAGTCACAAACAGAAAGGATCACATTATACTGCATTTGTGTTTATATTGCCATTGTGTCGGTATTTTATACCATTTATTTCCATCGTACTGTACAATTACTGTATCATAATTGTTCCACAGCTGGACTACTTGCTTCACATGAGCCTGCCAGTGGTACGTCTTGTTCCAAGATACCTGCACAATGCTGTGCTGCTGCTGTACATGTGAGTAACAGCAGTCATAGCAGGCAGGCAGGCAGGTAAGCAGGGAGGTAAGCAGGAAAGCATGGAAGTGGTCAGGCAGGAAGGGAAAGAATGAAGACAGAGTCAGTGAGTAGAAAGAAACTCAATGAGAGAGACGGGAATTGTAAAGGAATGAGAAACATATTGATGAATAAGACACATGTGCAACACCTAGGTATCTTTATTGATCAATAAGACACATGTGCAACACCTAGGTGTCTTTATTGATGAATAAGACACATGTGCAACACCTGGGTGTCTTTACTGACGGGTTTGTACATCAGTACAGTAATGTTACTTGTCTGACACACCTGTATCATGAAATAATGGTACAGATTGATGAATCATGGTACAGATTGATGAATCATGGTACAGATTGATGAATCATGGTACAGATTGATGAATCGTGCTACAGACCGATGAACTGTCGTGCAGACTGATGAATCGTGATACAGACCGCTGAATCGTGGTACAGACTGATGAATCGTGGTACAGACTGATGAATCGTGGTACAGACTGATAAATCGTGGTACAGACTGATGAATCATGGTATAGACTGACGAATCATGGTACAGATTAATGAATCGTGGTACAGACTGATGAATTATCGTGCAGACTGATGAATCATGATACAGACTGGGGAATCGTAGTACAGACTGGGGAATCATGGTACCGACTAGGAAATCATGGTGCCGACTGGGGAATCATGGTACAGGCTGGGGAATCATGGTAAAGACTGATGAATCATGGTACACTGATGAATCGTGGTATAGACTGATGGATCGTGGTACAGATTGGGAAATTGGGGTACAGACTGATGAATCGTGGCACAGACTGAGGATATCGTCTGTATTTCTATCACTTGTTTAATCTTTTGGCATGACTTGGCTCCAGTAATGGGGCCCCGCCCATTTGTGACGCAGCTTCCAACTACTGAACACGGTATATAATGGCTAATTAACTGACTCGGGGACTGACCACCTTATAAAATTACCTATCCACTTTTCCCACAGTCTCCAGGATATGAGTAACCTCTGCATTCAACTGAAGAAGTCTGCTATGCAGGCAAAATATTCCCACAATGAAGATATCCCAGAGTTGCTCTTGTGTTTTAGCGCTTCTCCCCCCCCCCCCCCCCCCGCGAGTGCACTAACCTGACTGATGATCCTCCAGGTACCTGCTTCACCTGGTCTACCACACACTCGCCTTCCTCCTGGCTAACATCAGTGTTTTCATGGGCGTCCTGGACGCTCTCATATCCTTTATTGTGAGTACTGTTCTCTGTGTTTGGCTCTGTCTGTGTCTAGTTTTATCTGTGTCTGGCTCTGTGTCTGAGTCCGTCTGTCTCTGAATGTCTGCCTGGCTTTGTATGTGTACTATTGAACACACACACACACAGGCTGCAAGCCTGGTCCAACAGCTGGCTCCTGAAGTTTAACCCTAGCAAGTGCAGTCATGAAGATCTGGGAAGGACAAAGAAGACCACCGACAAAGTACAGACTAGGAGGCCAAAGACTGCAAACCTCACTCGAGGAAAAAGATCTTGAGGTACGTATATTACCGAGCATATCTCCTGAAGTGCACATCAGCCAAATAACTGCTGCAGCATATGGCCGCCTGGCAAACCTAAAAACAGCATTTCGACACCTGAGTAAGAAATCATTCAAGACTCCGTACACCGTGCACGTCAGGCCCGTATTGGAGTATGCAGCACCAGTATGGAGCCCACAACTAGTCAGGCACATTATTAAATTAGAGGAAGTGCAGAGGTTTGCAACAAGACTAGTCCTGGAGATAAGGGGCATGTCCTACGAGGAGAGGTTAAGGGAAATCAAACTAACGACACTGGAGGACAGGAGAGACGGGGGGGACATGGTAACGACATATAAAATACTGAGAGATATTGGCAAGGTGGATAGGCACAGAATATTTCAGATATGGGGAGTAGCAACAAGGAGACACCACTGGAAGATGAAAACTAGAATGAATCATAAGATTGTTAGGAAGTATTTTTTCAGTCATAGAGTTGTCAGGAAGTGGAACAATCTGGAAAGTAATGTAGTGGAGACAGGATCCATACATAGCTTTAAGAAGAGGTATGATAAAGCTTATGGAGAAGGAAGAGAGTGGACCTAGTAGCGACTAGCGAAAAATCGAGGCCAGGAGCTGTGACTCGACTCCTGCAGCTACAAATAGGTGAGTATATGTAGGTGAGAGAGAGCGCGCGCGCGCACACACACACACACACACACACACACACACACACACACACACACACACACACACACACACACACACACACACACACACACACACACACACACACACACACACTGCAAAATCATGGAGAAGATTATCAGGAGAAGAGTGGTGGAACACCTAGAAAGCAACGATCTCATCAACAGCAGCCAACATGGTTTCAGGGACGGGAAATCCTGTGTCACAAACCTACTGGAGTTCTATGACATGGTGACAGCAGTAAGACAAGAGAGAGAGAGGGGTGGGTGGATTGCATTTTCTTGGACTGCAAGAAGGCGTTTGACACAGTTCCACACAAGAGATTGGTGCAAAAACTGGAGGACCAAGCAGGGATAACAGGGAAGGCACTACAATGGATCAGGGAATACTTGTCAGGAAGACAGCAGCGAGTCATGGTACGTGGCGAGGTGTCAGAGTGGGCACCTGTGACCAGCGGGGTCCCACAGGGGTCAGTCCTAGGACCAGTGCTGTTTCTGGTATTTGTGAACGACATGACGGAAGGAATAGACTCTGAGGTGTCCCTGTTTGCAGATGACGTGAAGCTGATGAGAAGAATTCATTCGATCGAAGACCAGGCAGAACTACAAAGGGATCTGGACAAGCTGCAGACCTGGTCCAGCAATTGGCTCCTGGAGCTCAACCCCACCAAGTGCAAAGTCGTGAAGATTGGGGAAGGGCAAAGAAGACTGCAGACGGAGTACAGTCTAGGGGGCCAGAGACTACAAACCTCGCTCAAGGAAAAAGATCTTGGGGTGAGTATAACACCAGGCACATCTCCTGAAGTGCACATCAATCAAATAACTGCTGCAGCATATGGGCGCCTAGCAAACCTCAGAACAACATTCCGACATCTCAATAAGGAATCGTTCAGGACCCTGTACACCGTGTACGTTAGGCCCATATTGGAGTATGCGGCACCAGTTTGGAACCCACACCTAGCCAAGCACGTAAAGGAACTAGAAAAGTGCAAAGGTTTGCAACAAGACTAGTCCCAGAGCTAAGAGGTATGTCCTACGAGGAGAGGTTCAGGGAAATCAACCTGACGACACTGGAGGACAGGAGAGATAGGGGGGACATGATAACGACATACAAAATACTGAGAGGAATTGACAAGGTGGACAAAGACAGGATGTTCCAGAGATGGGACACAGCAACAAGGGGACACAGCTGGAAGTTGAAGACACAGATGAATCACAGGGATGTTAGGAAGTATTTCTTCAGCCACAGAGTAGTCAGTAAGTGGAATAGTTTGGGAAGCGATGTAGTGGAGGCAGGATCTATACATAGCTTTAAGCAGAGGTATGATAAAGCTCAAGGTTCAGGGAGAATGACCTAGTAGCGACCAGTGAAGAGGCGGGGCCAGGAGCTTGGACTCGACCCCTGCAACCTCAACTAGGTGAGTACTCAACTAGGTGAGTACTCAACTAGGTGAGTACACACACACACACACACACACACACACACACACACACACACACACACACACACACACACACACACACACACACACACACACACACACACACTCACAACCTGCTCAAGTCGTACATAAGCTTAAAAAGGTCCCAAGGTTTGCAACCTAACTAGTACCAGAATTGAGAGGAATGCACTGTGAGGAGAAGTTAAGGGAACCAAACCTAACCACCTTGGCGGAGAGAAGAACAGGGGCAAGACATAATTACGACATGCAAAACTCCACGAAGAATTGATAAGGATGATAGGGACAAATTGTTTGAATTAAAAGAACCAGGATAAAGGGGACACAGGTGGAAACTGAAGACACATGTGAACCAAAAGGATGTTAGGAAGTATTTCTTCGGCCCTCAGAATGATTGAACAGTGGATTCTGTGTCGTGGGCCGCCATTAATACCTTCTGCCTCAGATAATTTTCCCTCTTATCTGTTGCTCTCTTGCAACATTGCATAGCTCCTGACGATGCACGAGAGTGAGAAAGATCTAAAGATTTTCATCCCTATGTGGCTTGTTCTGCATTGTTAAGGTCACTTGTTTGCGATTGTATTTCACACAGTTTTAAGAATGGTTACGGTAAGATTTAAAAGGCCGGAAGTCAGTGATGCTGATGAAATTAGTCTAGCAGGCGGGGCAAAGAGCTGAGTCTCGACCCTAACTAACAAAATTTGGCGAGTGCACAGAGAGGATAGGGGTCAGATGGAGGGGTCAGACGGAGGGTCAGACGGAGGGTCAGACGGAGGGTCAGACGGAGGGTCAGACGGAGGGTCAGACGGAGGGAATAGAGCAGACAGTAAGCAACTCGGTACAATAATAAACTTAAGATACGGTAAAGCTGGTTAATGTTCTCCTTCACCCCCCCCCCCACCAGGCTGTCTTCTGTTATGGTCCTCTGCTGCGTCTGCGTCTGCTGTGTGGCGGCTGCTCCTGCTTCTGCTGTTTCTGCTGCTTCTGTCCCTCCTGGTGCTGCTGTCCCTCCCGCCGCCGCCGCTGCTGCTGCTGCTGTCACTACTGCTGTCACTGCTGTGAAGATATAAGCATTACATTAGACCAGTCACAGTGGAGGAGGCAGCCACCTTGTACCCTCAAACCTAATTATTATATGATTTAGGTGACCCATTATATGATCTAGGCAACCTAAGTAACTGTTACATGATCTAGGTGACCTAACTAACTGTTATATGACCTACGTGACATAATTGTTATACGATTTAAATGACCTTACTAACTATAACACGATTCAAGTGACCCTCAAGGGGATGACTTAATAATGGTGTGAGGTTTTTGATCCAAGGACTTGAACTTGCCCTTTCCTTCTTTGGATCAATTGGACCCCAATGGAAATAAGTCACTCTGACTTTTTTGGGTTATCCTAGGTTCTCTACACATATGCTGCTATGTATGATAATTCTATGTAACTGTATTTGTGTATACCTGAATAAACTTACTTACTTACTTACTCAAACCTAATTACCTCCTTCTGCCAATCAGGCACTGTATGGCTCTTACAGTGCCAGTCCTTTATAAATAATTATAATGATGATCTCTTCTTCCATCCAATATTTGGTCATCACTCTATGTTGATGACTTCGCTATTACTTGTGCAGGCGCTGGCTGTCACCTCATTACAGTTTCTCCAGCATGCGGTCAACCTTGTTTCAAATTGGGCCACCACACATGGGTTTAAATTTTCCAATACTTAAACTCGCCAAATTACTTTCACTGGATGCTCTGTCATCTCCGATCATCCTTTGTACCTCTATGGCTCACGTATCCCTAAACGTGATAGTCAGGTTTCTAGGCCTTCTCTTTGACCGTAGGTTATCCTGGAAACCTCACATTACCTCTCTGAAGGGAACTTGTCACAGCCGGCTGAACCTTCTTAAAACCCTTGCTCATCTTTCATGGAGAGCTGATCATCGAACTCTCCTTCACCTACATTCAGCCCTCATTTTATCGAAACTCGATTATGGTGACCAGATCTATTCAGCGGCCTCGCATGCCATAATCCCATCCATCACCAGGGATTACGTTTATGCTTTGGTGCTTTTCGCTCTTCCCCTGTTGAAAGCCTCTGTGCTGAAGCGAATATTACATCCTTGTCCGATAGCCGTGATGCCATTGCCATAGGTGGCCTGGTGGCTAAAGCTCCCGCTTCACACACGGAGGGCCCGGGTTCGATTCCCGGCAGGTGGAAACATTTCGACACGTTTCCTTACACCTGTTGTCCTGTTCACCTAGCTGCAAATAGGTACCTGGGTGTTAGTCGACTGGTGTGGGTCGCATCCTGGGGGACAAGATTAAGGACCCCAATGGAAATAAGTTAGACAGTCCTCGATGACGCACTGACTTTCTTGGGTTATCCTGGGTGGCTAACCCTCCGGGGTTAAAAATCCGAACGAAATCTTATCTCTTATCTTATCACTATGTTCGCTCTCATGATCTCCGCAATCCTTCCATATATAGAATAATCACCGATGTTAGTAGACATTATTTGTTCGTCGCCCCTGTTTGCTCCGTCCCTTTTCTCTTCGCCTACATTTGCTCTTGTCTTCCCTTCAGTTATCACCTGTCTATGTTCATGTAGCATCTAACTTTTCCCTACCCCCTGGGAAGTTCCAGCTGTTCGAGTCTGTTCTTTTCACTCCCTTGCGCGAAAACCCAACTGCCTACGGTAGCTTCCCGCTCTCCTTTTCTTCACCACTTCCGCTCTCATTCTCATGCCATCGCAGTGTACACAGATGGCTCTAAGTCTTCTGACGGCATCGGATTTGCAGCAGTGTTTCTGGACAGTGTCGTGCGAGGGCATTTACTATCCTCGGCTAGCATTTTTACTGCTGAATTGTATGCCATTCTAGCAGCACTTATCCGTATTGCATCTATGCCTGTGTCATCATTTGTGGTTGTTTCAGACTCCCTTAGTGCTCTACAGGCTATACGAAAATTTGATACACCTCACCCCCTAGTTCTCCGTATCCAACTTTGGTTACGCCGTATCTTTACCAAGCATAAAGATATTGGTTTTTGTTGGGTCTCTGGTCATGTTGACGAACAGGGCAATGAGCAGGCAAACACTGCTGCGCGGTCAGCAGCACATGACCTTCCAGTTTCATATAGAGGTGTTCCATTCACGGACTATTTTGCTGTAATAGCTACCCACCTTCACGCCCGTGGGCAACAACGTTGGTCTGATCTGCTCAATAACAAACTTCGTTTTATTAAACCGAGTATAGGTTATTGGCTGTCTTCTTGTTATCAGTGTCGAGGTTGGGAGACTACACTCTCTCGTCTTCGCATTGGCCACACTCGTCTTACTCATGGGTATCTCATGGAGAGGTGCCCTGTTCTTCTCTGTGAGAATTGTCAGGTTTCTGTATCGGTTAGCCACATTCCATTAGACTGCCCTCTCTATCAACGAGCATGCAGAATTTACCTCCAACGTCGTCTCCGCTCTGCTGCTCTCTCTTTACCTTCCCTTCTTGTTGATGGACCCTCCTTTAATCCTGACTCACTGACCTTTTGACAACTGATTTACTCCACAGATTCTGATGATGATACGTTTTGCACTCCCCTCAGCCCTTTCTACCTCAATCTCTTGCTGCCCTCTACCCCCACACTATCCACTGCCCCGCTGTTCTCTGTACCCTAATCATCCCTCTCCCTTTTGCCACCCGATACCCTTGCTTCCTTCCCTGCCCTGCAGCGCTGTATAGCCCTTGTGGTTTAGCGCTTCTTTTTTATTATAATAATGATAATAGAATAAATTATCTTTACATGAAAAATATCATGGGAATATACACATTCTAACGGCAATTATCAGTATTGCGTCTAGGCCTACCTCAGCATTTGTGGTAGCGTCAGATTCCTAGTTCTTCGTATACAACTTTGTGCATCATTTCTAGCAAAAACAAGGAAATCATTGCGTGTTGGGTCCCTGGTCATGCTGATGTTCAGGACAATGAGCAGGCAGACTCTGCTGCGAAGTCAGTGGCATATGACCTTAATGTGTCATATGCAGGTATTCCATTCTCAGACTATTTTGTTGTAATCTCTAGCCACCTTCTTAATCGCTGACAACACCGTTGGTCTGAGTTGATTCATAACAAATTATATTCTATCATGCCGTGTTTAGGTTTCTGGTCTTCTCATCATCGAGGTCGTGGTTGGGAGACTACACTTTCTCGTCTTCACATCGGACACACGCGTCTCACTCGTGGGTATCTCGTGGAGAGGCACCCAGTGCCACTCTGTGTGAATTGTCAAGTTACAATATCAGTTTGCCATATACTATCAGACTGTCCTGTCTACCAGCGAGCATGCAGAAGTTACCTCCAACATTGTCACCAGTCTAACACCCTTACTTTATCTTCCCTCCTCACTGATGGCCCCACCTTTAACACAGACTCCCCTTTGATTTTTTTGTCAGCAACAGCTTTATTACACCGACTTTGATTATATGCACTTCCTTGATCACTCCTCACCGTCCTTCTTAACTCTACCTCTGTTATACTCTTCACCCTCATTCATCTCTGATCAAGCATATTACTCATTTTAGCCCCCCCTCAAGGAAGGTTCCTTGATATTGGTGAGGGGCTCTTGATTTAGGGAATTGGATCTGTGCTCCAGTTCCCCGAATTAAGCCTGAATGCCTTCCACATCCCCCCCCCCAGGCGCTGTATAATCCTCCGGGTTTAGCGCTTCCCCCTTGATTATAATAATAATACTCATTTTAGCCCACCTTACCCTGCAGTGCTGTACGACTCTTATGGGTTTTGCTCTAGGTTATGATTAAAATAATAGGAATGTAGAACATATTCTGGGTAAATTTATTAAAATATACATTGGCCAAACAGGTAAGAACATGACAAATATGAAGGACCTTAATGGAAATAAATCACTTTGACTTTTTTTTGGGATTATCCCAGGTTGTCTACACATATGCTGCTATGTATGATAGTCTATGTAACTGTATTTGTGTATACCTGAATAAACTTACCATCAAATCGGGTGTGAATCTGACCTCTCAAAGGAATTGCCGTGATGCCAGTGAGGGGCTCTTGATCCAAATAATTAGAGGTAATCTCTCCTTCTTTGGATCGAATCCAATTGCCTCCCCTTCCCTCAAGACGCTTTATTATCCGCATGGGTTTGGCGCTCCCCCCCCCCATGAAATAAAAGCAAACTAGAGGTTTAAAACATGTTTTGGTATGATTTTCTTGGTATTTTCAACCCTGGAGAGGAGGGTTAGTAAGCCAGTAATGTCCGTGAATTATTAGGGGCTGTCTGGCTTATTTCCGTTGTGATCCTTTAATCTTCTCCCCCAGAATGTCACCTACATCAGTTTGCTAACACACAGGTACCTACGAACTGCTAGGTGAAGAGTGGCAGCAGGTGTAAGTTGACTAACACCCAAGTACCTATTTAGTGCTAGCTGAACAGGAGCAGCAAGTGTAGGGAGACTAAAACTCAGGTACCTGCTTACTGCTAGGTTAACAGGGACAGCAGATATAAGGAAACATACCCAAAGCTTCACACGTACCCGGGACTGATCCCGGACCCTTAGTGTGTGAGCTGATGTGTAAGTAATTTGGTTAAGAAATTATATATATACATTATATATATATATATATATATATATATATATATATATATAATATATATATTACATATATATATATATATATATATATATATATATATACATACATACCTGGAGTATACTTGAAAAGGGTATCGGGGGTCAACGCCCCCGTGGCCCGGTCTGAGACCATGCCTCGTGGTGGATCAGGCTGTTACTGCTGGCCGCACATAAACCGACGTACAAACCACAGCCCGGCTGATCAGGTACTGACTTTAGGTGCCTGTCCAGTGCCTTCTTGAACACAGCCAGGGGTCTGTTGGTAATCCCCCTTATGTATGCTGGGAGGCAGTTGAACAGTCTTGGGACCCTGCCACTTAATGTCTTGTCTCATAGTGTACTTGTGGCATCCCTGATTTTCATTGAGGAAATGTTGCATCTCCTTGGCACGAGCGACACGTCAAAGACAATGAAGGGTTATTATAGTCATGTAACACTCCTGACCAATAACAGTAGCGTTAATAAAGACGCATCAGAACGTAAACAAAGGCATGCCAGTCCCATATCTACCGCTGGCGGAGTAAGGTAAAATACCTTAGGTTATTTTAGGATGAGTTACGTTGAACTTCTTCAGAATTAGTTACGTTGCTAAATATTTCCACAAAATAAGCCACCCTAACCCACATAACAATACGAAACAATGATAATTAATGAAAAATACACCCGAGTGATAAATTAAGGGAAAACGAGTCAAGTAGAAAACTTAAAATTGGAAAAAAACGACGTCAATTAAAGTTATTTGAAGCTATGCAGACCCAGAGCTGCAGTCTAACA